GCGCGCCCGCTCCGCGCAAAGGCCGCGCAAAAGGCCGCGCAGCGCCGGGCGCTCCCGCTATTGTCCACTAGCAGGTTGCGCTGCTGCTGCGCTTACAGATGGGTTTTGTGCGCCGGAGTCAAAACGTGATTAGAAAGTCAAATGAAATCATGTTTTCTAATTCGAAAAAACTGACAGGCAATATAATGTCTGGCTGTGTTTACAAATTAACACCAGTGCTGCTGAGATAGAAGATTTCGCAATCGCTACAAAACACAGGCATTACCATTTAAAAAACTATTACTTCCTCCTCTAGTCTTTGTCCAACAATAATACCGATTCTAACATTTTCCATTCTGTCTTGGATTTATGCTCCTGTTAATTGTGCCTGATCTCAATGATTCCGGGTGGATGGTACTAAGTTGCTTTATTACAGGTTTTATTATACTCAATGCTCTCATTTGTAACTTGCCTAAAGTGCTTCTGGATTTAAGTATAATTAAATTGAGAAATGTTCAGAAATGACTACTGCTGCAGTTCTTGTGTTTTAACTATATGGGGAAATATGATCCCTTTATGCATGCACCCTAAACCCATAAAGTAAATGTAGTGTGGCATAATACTTTTATTTGTGTTATTTCTACACATATTCCATACAGGGAGGACTGTTAAGTTTAAAATCCCACAGAGATATTTATGATTAAATAATTTTCACCATCTACTTGATTTTCTTAAATATTTAGCGGTCGCTTTTATTAAAGGTTAACTGTTGCAGCAACGGGAATATTCAGAAATGACCCTTTCCCTGACCCAAATTTCTTTAAAAATTTTTTTTTTTGGCATAACTAAATAAATCCTCTTAAAAGATATATTCCCTTGTTTTTATATTTTTCTTCATGCATCCTGCTGATTCAATTTTACAGAGAAAAAAGAATTGGCTGGGTTGGTTTAAGGATTTGAACCAGATGGCATTTGGTTTTCACAAAGTATAGCAATGCTATTAATTCACAGATCCTTGAAAGTCGAATAAAATGATTTGTACTTAAAATATCTGTAAAGGAGGCTCACCAATTCAGACCACCGCAACCGAACACAATTGCAGCGAGGGAGAATTCAAAAGAACGTTTTAGGTCATGTTCCTACAGCAATCAGGGGCTTGCAGGCAACAAATTAGTTTATTCTTACTGTTGCCTCCATGTTA